CGATGAAGGTGCTGTCCAATAACCAGCGCCTGTACCCCGTCGATGTCGTCAAGTACGAGTGCTTCGGCCAGCCCATCCTGCTCCGCGACGTTGACTTCAGCGTCCAGACGCAAAAGTCGCAGCTCCCTCAGCACTTCTTCATCGTCCAGGTACGGGCCGCGACCACTCCCTGTATATCCCCCCTGAATCTCGCTCATTCTTCCCCCCCCCTCGCCACCAGGACCCTGTGGCGCAGATGGGCGTGCAGGCAGCACCCTCGCCCGGGAGTGGCTCGAGCCTGCCCCAGGTAAGCTCTCCGCAATAGGCGCTGACTGACAGACGAGTTCTTACACGTATCCTCTCACCCGGCGTGTCTCGTGTCCTCCAGCAGGGCTATGCTGCGCAGCCGCAGCCGCAGCCGCAGCTGACACCACCACAGACCCCGCCGCACCAGCTGGCGCAGCAGGGCCAGCCGATGATGTATGCCGTCGATCCCGCGCAGCAGCAGCAGCAGGCCATGATGGCCCAGCAGGCCGCCGCTACCTTGCGCCCGCCCGTGGGCGGCTTCTACCCGCCGCAGCAGGGCTACCCGCCCCAGGCCACCCCTCCGCATACTCCCCCTGGTCCCCAGTCTGTACGTCCTCTTCGCCCTTCGTTCGCCACCTCATCGCACTTCGTTTCTGACCCGTGCTGCATGTCTTGTCGTTGATCGTGTCGTGTGTTGGTCACAGCAGCAGCAGCAGCAGCAGCAACAGCAGCAAATGTTCATGCCGGCCATGTACGCCTATCCGGCGACCCAGATGCCGGCCGCCTACCTCCCGCAGTACTATCCGGGCTCGCCGCACCAGGTGCCCTACGGCGGCGCCATGTCGTCGTCCGCGCTCCCCTCGGTCTACGACGTGCAGCAGCACAGCGGAAGCCCGCACTACCCGTCGCCTCTCTCGGACAGCGGCGGCGGCCACACCAACCCGCCGCCGTTCAACCCCGAGTACGCCGCCGCGCACGAGTTCAAGCGCCTCTCCCTGTCCGGTCAGCAGTAGTTGAAGGTGACGATGGTGATGGTGGTGTCTCAATTATTTATTTAATTTGTGAATAAGAATATTTATTTGTTTTTCTTCTAATAAATGGCCGATGCGCGAAATTGCACCAATCGTGCGCAGTTGTTGCAAACTCCTCCCACAACCAACGAGACACACACATCTGATTGTTGGATTCTTGGTGTCGGTAAGCAGCATTTGCCTTGTAGATCGACGGAGGGCACTGAAGGAGGGGCGGCACATGACAACATCAACATTGCTGACCCAGGTGCCTCGTGAAATTTGGGAGATAATCCTTCTCAATCTCCCCTACTACGAAGATTTGGTGGTGGCCTCGCTCACATGCAATCTCTGGCACGACATCCTTGCTGATCACCTCGTAC